CATAAAGATCGATGGAGCCATGTCTGGGACCTTCAATGCTGCAGACATTTCTGGACCCATCCATACTGGCTTCACACATCCTTCTCAGAACTCTAAGGACATTCCTTCGACCTCATGGCTGGGTTTTTGCTCTGACAAATGTGGGGCCTTATACAGTGCCTTGCAAAAGTATTCATCCCCCTTGGCGTTTTTCCTATTTGGTTTCATTACAACCTGTAATTTAAAGGCATTTTAATTTGTATTTCAATTAATGGACATACACAAAATAGTCCAAATTGGTGAAGTGAAATTAAAAAAATAACCCCTTTGCTATGAAGCCCCTAAATAAGATCTGGTGCAACCAATTACCTTCAGAAGTTACATAATTAGTTAAATAAAGTCCACCTGTATGTAATCTAAGTGTCACATGATCTGTCACATGATCTCAGTATATATACACCTGTTCTGAAAGGCCCGAGTCTGCAACACCACTAAGCAAGGGGCACTACCAAGCAAGCGGCACCATGAAGACCAAGGAGCTCTCCAAACAGGTCAGGGACAAAGTTGTGGAGAAGTACAGATCAGGGTTGGGTTATAATAAATATCCAAAACTTTGAACATCCCACGGAGCACCATAAAATCCATTATTAAAAAATTGAAAGAATATGGCACCACAACAAACCTGCCAAGAGAGGGCCGCCCACCAAAACTCACGGAGCAGGCAAGGAGGGCATTAATCAGAGAGGCAACAAAGTGGTGTTCGCCAAAATGAATTTAATCCATTTTAGAATAAGGCTGTAACGTAACAAAATGTGGAAAAAGGGAAGTGGTTTGAATACTTTCCAAATGCTTCTCCTTCTCTCTCCTCTCTCTCTCTCTCTCTCTCTCTCTCTCTCTCTCTCTCTCTCTCTCTCTCTCTCTCTCTCTCTCTCTCTCTCTCTCTCTCTCTCTCTCTCTCTCTCTCTCTCTCTCTCTCTCTCTCTCTCTCTCTCTCTCTCTCTCTCACATTAAGAGTCATTATTATTCTATAAACAGTAAAATAATACTGTCCCAGTTTGTCTAAAATATTAACAAAAGCAAGCTACTTCTTCCACTGATTGCTTTAGACTCTGAAGTTCAGACTAGATCTACTAAAACTAAGATCTCAGATGAATTTGATTTCCATTGGATCAACATTGCCGCTCAAATTGTTGAGGTTTGTTGTCTTGAATTGCAATGATTGCTGTCTCATAAAATCAACCGTATTCACGGATTATCAGTCATAATGGGCAGAAAATGCAGAATGCATACCAACACGCATGCACGCACACGCGCACGTACAGCCAGTACACCTTCATGACTTAGTGCCCGGCTCACATTTACCTCTATTGTTTTGACTATAAAGCCAGGTGATCACTCCCTTTTGTCTCCTCTGAACCGATGCAAACACAAACAGAGAGGCCAGGTGAACCAAAGGTCTAAGGTTCTACTGCTCCTTCCCCCATACCTTCTCCTCGGCCAGGTTGCCCCAAGGGTGACACGGCAACAAACATTCTTCATTGTCTAAAGCAGGGATGTCAAACTCATTTTGCGCCACGGGCTGCATTCGGTCTTCACCAAGTCCGGAGGGCCGCACTTATAATGTTTTATATTTCCTCACCGTGAAAATGTGCAAAAATTGTCCTCTATCCACCGCTTTTGGAATTTCCGATCCTATACAGTGCCTTGCAAAAGTATTCACATTTTATTGTGTTACAAAGTGGGATTAAAATGGATTTAATTGTCTTTTTTTTATCTACCCAAAATACTCTGTAATGTCAAAGTGGAAGAAATATTCTAACTGTTTTTAAAGATCAATAAAAATGTAATAAATAAAATATAGTCGTTGCATAAGTATTCAGCTCCCTGAGTCCATACGTGTTAGAAACACCTTTGGCAGCAATTATTACAGGTGAGTCTTCTTGGGTAATTCTCTTAGAGCTTTGCACACCTGGATTGCAATATTTGCCTATTATTCTTTTGAAAATCTTCAAGCTCTGTCCAGATGTTGGGGATCATGGCTAGACAGCAATTTTCGAGTCTTGCCATAATATTTCAAGCAGATTTAGGTCAAAACTATAACCTGGCCAACATTCACTGTCTTCTTGGTAAGCAACTCCAGTGTAGATGTGGCCTTGTGTTGTAGGTTATTGTCCGGCTGAAAGGTGAATTCCTCTGCCAGTGTCTGGTGTAAAGCAGACTGATTTTGGTTTTGCTCTAGGATTTTAATTGTGCTTAGCCCTTTCCCGTTAATTTTTATCCTGAAAAACTCCCCAGTTTTTACCGATGTCAAGCAAACCCATACCACGATGCAGCCACCACCATGCTTGAAAATAAGGAGGCATTTACTCAGTTATGTGTTGTGTTGGTAGAGCATGGCGCTTGCAACACCAGGGTTGTGGGTTCGATTCCCACGGGGGGCCAAGGGGGCCAGTATGAAAATGTATGCACTCACTAACTGTAAGTCGCTCTGGATAAGAGCGTCTGCTAAATGACTAAAATGTAAATGTAAAAGGTTTTGCTCCAAATATAGGGCTTTGCATTTAGGCCAAAAAGTGTATTCCTTTGCCATTATTTTTTTAAATTATTACTTTAGTGTTTTGTTGCATACAAGATGCATGTTTTGTATATTTATGTTTTTCTTTTCATTCATTTAGGTCATTATTGTGGAGTCACTATAATGTTGTTGATCCATCCTCAGTTCTCTCCCATCACATCCATTGAACTCTGTAGCTGTTTTAAAATCACCAATGGCCTCATGTTAACATTCATTCCTGTCCTGCAGCTCAGTTCAGAAGGATGATTGTATCTTTGAGGTGTCTGGTTGGTTTAATACATAATGCACAGCATAATTATTACTAACTAGGCAATACTTAAAGAGATATTCAATGTCTGATGTGTTATTCTTACCCATCTACCAATCACTTCCCTTCTTTATGAGGCTTTCGAAAAGCTCCCTGGTTTTTGTAGTTGAATCTGTGCTTGAAATGAACGTTAACCCCTATTATTTCACACAGAGTGAGTCCATGTACTGTACTTTTTATGTGATTTGTTAAGCCAAATTTTACTCCTGAACTAATTTAGGCTTGCCTAAACAAAGGGGCAGAATACTTATGCAACAACTATATTTTAGTTAAAACAAACAAACAACAAAAAATCTTCCACTTCTGCATTACAGAGTATTTAGTGTATATTGTTGACAAAAAATGACAATTAAATCAATTTTAATCCCACTTTGTAATACATTAAAATCAGAATACTTTTGCGAGGCTGGGAATTGCCAGCGACCTCACGAAACAAAATGATCACGATACTTAGGCGCTGATACGATATGTATTGCGATTCTCACGATTCTCCAGAGTATATATGTATTGTGATTCAATACTGTGATTTTATTGAGATTCCATGGTCCAAACATATTGCTCACCAGTATGTCTGCTGCAGAGGGACAAGAGAGAGCCATGAGAAAACGAGTCATGGAAATATAAGTGCTGAAAACAAATCGGCTCCCTATTTAAAAAGAAGCTGGAGAACAAGTTATGAAGGAAATATACTGGAGTTCTGGTGCTGGTACAGCCAACTAGTGCAAAAATAATATTGTGATATTGTCTAAACGATACATTTTACATTTACATTTTAGTCATTTAGCAGACGCTCTTATCCAGAGCGACTTACAGGAGCAATTAGGGTTAAGTGCCTTGCTCAAGGGCACATCGACAGATTTTTCACCTAGTCGGCTCGGGGATTAGACGATACAATAGATCATCAAGAATAATATTCTGATATGTAACTGTATCGATTTTTCCCCCATCACTAACATATATATATATATATATATACTGTATACAATTTTTTTTACTCAAACCCCCGGCAAGCCGGATTGTATGAGCTTGCGGGCCGAATGTTTAACCTTTTACTGCAGTGGGCTGAATCAGGGTCACACAGAGTGTTTCTTGGTAGTCTTAAACAAATCTACTTTGAAACAAAAGTATACACCTCACACACATGGTTATGGGCTTAAAAAAAGAAGACACCTGTACCATGTCAGATATAGAATTTAAATGTATTCAATTTTGAGTTTGCATCCCAATATTACACTTATACATCACAGAAGACTGAAATATAACAAAACTGTTTGACATAGAAACACCTGATTTTCGTCGTAAAAAAAAGAAAAAGAAAATGAATTATGAAATTAACATTCCACCCATGAGGCCAAAGAGGGCGCTTTTGGTCAATGACTGCAGGAAAGGGCTACCACACCTTGGTCTAAAGACTCTCAGTGTGTGTCCCAAATTGTACCTTATTCCTTTTATAGTGCACTATTTTGACCAGGGCCCATTTGGCATCACTTTAACTCTATACCTAAATCACTCTGTTTTTACTGAGTGTGTGAACAGAGGATTCTGATGATGAATCTATGGTTATTTAGTGGTCATTATTAATGAATGACCAACATGCAATAAGCAGCTAGTGGTAGATGTTAAGTTTGCAGAGTTTGTAAAATAATGAATGTGAACACCGGGGGCCAGTTTCCCGGATACAGAATAGTTTTTGTCCTGTACTAAAAAGCTAGATTCTCCATTGACCATGTTTCTTAGTCCAAGACTAGCTTTAATCTGTGTCTGGGAAACCGATCCAGTATGAGTCCAGCTCTAATTCACCTCACTGAAAAGGAGCCAAATGTTTACCACTTCTGCACCAGACAAACAATTATAATCTTGGAGCAGTCTAAGGATAAAAAGATGTGACAACATGATTTATGGAATGGACTTCCCATTTTAACCTGTGGCAAAACCGGGAGAAATAGTGTTGCTATTGGACTGTCACCTGACCCAAACAAGACAAATACAAATGACTTGTAACACCCCAGGTGTAAAAGAGTAGTCTAACGTTCATTTATAATTTGGACCAAAGAAGTTGATTAACTAGGAAAAGTGTCACAATAGAGCCCAGGTGAAAGACTTACAGGAAAGATAGGAGGAGATGGGAGACCCACGCTTTCACTGGTACATGTATTCTGGTGGCAGTGGCTTAGACCGCCAGTAGGACACGCAAGTAAAAATATGTAATGAAATATCTCCACTGTCACTAACCTGTTCGTCACTAACCTGTTCCCTGAGCCTCTCCTGGTGGCCCATGATGGCCGAGGCATGGTGAGGGTACTTCTGCTTCAGGTGCTCCAGGAAGGCCTCCCTCTTCTTGTCCATGTCCGAGGGCTGCATGGCCAGGATCTCTCGGGAGCTGCGTGCCCCCCCTAACGTGTGCCTGCGGGGGACGGTGCGACTGCCGTTACCTTTGGGGTCCTGGGTCCGGGTGGGGGTCCCATTCGTGGGGCCCTGCCTCCTGCTCAGGTGCTCGGAGTCCTCCAGGGAGGTTACCTTTAGGTTGCTTTTGGTTTGCTCTGGAGAGAGAGCGAGAGAGGCTTGGTCAACATACAGGTACTGTGGCACTATTCTATTGGTGTGTGTGGGTGCATGGTTTCTCCTGGGCCAAAACGGGGCTTGGGTGTGGCAGTGGGCAGGGTAGTGGGCGCCCAAGAATGTACTACGCAGGAAAAAACAAGTGTGTGAGTGTGTGTGTGTGAGTGTGCGTGTCCTTAGGTGCATTCACAAACCCTTATGGTTATACACATGACTATAAAATTATAGTCTAAGTCAGAGACCTAACCCTAAACGCCAGTGGACCAGCCAGATTGGGAAAGATCCAGGCTCCGTGCTCTAACTGAATTACATAATGACATTTTCAAATGTGGCTGAAGATGGCTGAAGATACACACAACCTGTAAAATCCATTATCAGCAGACTGATGCATGATCCCATTGTAGACATTGAGACATTATGGATGTTATGAAAACGCAGTCTAGACATAAAATACTGCATCTACAGATCAGACCTGGGTTCAAATACTATTTGAAATGATGCCAAATGCTTTATCTGGGTTTGATTGAGCTTGCCTGGGGCAATGGAACAAAATATTTGCAGAATATCGCGAACAGACATAGCCAACTGCTCTTGTTTAGTATACACAGTTTCATCTGGGGCTAAGCTGAAAACAGCATAATGTCTCAACGACAGCATCAGTAGAGAACTAAGCATCCAATAAAATAATGAGAGGCATTGTTCTGTTATATAATCATTTATCTGAGGGAATTCTCAATAAATCTAGCCATAGGAAACAACCTTCAAGCTTCATTGCATGAAGTATCATCAAATCATAAAGTGGGATATTGATATCTTCCAGGATAGGAAGCATCCAGTACTGCAGACTAGTCCCCATATGTGTCCCAAATTACATGCTATTCCCTATATAGTGGCCAACCCTGGTCAAAGAGTAGTGCACTATAAAGGGAATAGGGTGCTATTTAGGATGCAGGCCTCCACCTCATCACATATTCATGTTGTTGCTTATTTCAGTGATCGGAACTCCAGATTTCATGTGACAGAAACAATATCAGTGATGAAAACATTAAACTGAAGCAGCTGTTCACTTTAAACTCTCCCCGACATTCAAAAGCCTGGGCAAACATTCAAAATCTGTCTAGGAGAGAGACAAAACGTTATCCAGAGAATCTGTTTATATACAGACACTTGGGAAATGGAATCCTCATAGTGAACAGAAGTCGCTGACTACATACATTCGTACGTCAAAGTCAATATTTTCAGGAGGAAATGTTATTCCTTCCAGTAGCACATTAGGATGTTTGAATAACGGCGGCGATCTTGACTTGGAATAACTCCATTCTCTAAAGGGATGTCCTGTCTTCCTCTCAACTGTGAACATTGATACATCATGAACTTCTAGGAAAAACAAAAACCATATGTCAAATTAAAAACATAAATATTGAAAACCATTCAACTCCATTATAACACATCAACATACTGTTAACTACCCAATATATCAACATGATATTCAATCTTAAAGAGGCAGTCCGGGATCTTAACCACTTACAAATTCGTAACATATTGTACGAATTTAATTTTTAAAAATAAATTACAAGGATGTTGTAGTATACAATTGTGCACAATTTCCGGGGTCCATTTTTGGCTCGTGAGGACTACTTTCAAAACTACTGGCTGAAATTATACAAAAGCTCTGGAGCATCACTTTAAGATACTAAAGAGATAATGAGAAACATTTCCTTCAGTTCAAGCTCTAAACACTCTATTATCTTGTTATAAATCAATCCATTCCTTGGGGCTGGGCATTAACACTACAAATCAATGAGGGAACCATTTTGGCTCAGGCTGGGCAGTGGATGTGTCCCAAATGGCACCGTATTCCCTTTATAGTGCACTACTTTTGACGACTATTTCACTACTTTATACAGTGTGCTATATAGGGAATATGCTATTTGGGATGTATCCAGCGTGTTTGTGACAGTGAGGGGCTTGCTGTGAGACTGAGAGCTATCCCATGGTGCCGTGTGCTGACACAGACTCTTTTTCCCCGCGCTGTAATTCTTCCAGGCTTTTGGTTCCCAATAGGGCTGGGGCGTGGAGGATAAGAGAGGAGGAGGAGAGGAAGAGAGGAGCGGTGGAGTGTGAAAACACAAGGAGAGAGTAATAAAGCATGCTGATCTGTTGGCTTGTTTCTCTAGACTGCAGGTACAGCCATAATGTGTACTTGTCCAAGGTTAATGGGGAAAAATAAGGGTCTGGCTATATAATTATTGCTGTCTTATGTTTCCTCACCAAACAAAAGCACATGGGTGTAACATGACTTTCAGTTTCAGCATTGTATTTCAGTCGCTCCGCTTTGCTCCCACACAGTAGTGTTTCCTATCACATGGTGTTTTGGTCACCCAGTGTGAACACATACTCCATAATTTGCTAACACACACATAATATGCACAGACATTTACTGACTCTACACACACCCACTCACATACAATCATCATATATGCTGCTGCTACTCTGTTTATCATCCTGATGTCTAGTCACCTTACCCCTACACATATCTACCTCTATCGATCCAGTATCCCTGCACATTGTAAATGTGGTACTGGAATTGACCCTGTATATAGTACGTGTGTTTTTGTTCTACCTTGTTATTTTTAGTATTACATTGTTATTGATTGTTGGGGTTAGAGCTTGCAAGAAAGGCATTCCACTGTACTTGTGCATGTGACATTAAATCTTGAAACTTGAACACCAACAGAACTGATAACGTGCATTCACATGGATATTTCCACCCACACAACTCACAGTAAACTTTGTCTGGATCAGTTAAGCACTGTAAATGGGGGTGTGATGTAGCTAGGAACATACCAGAAAAGCACTGCACTGCCGATGGATGGCTAATGAAAGATATCCCGCTGCCCTTACTCTTCTAGTTGAGTGTTGCAGCATGGCTGACGTACTTACAGGCCTATTTTTAACTCCTGAAAACAGTTTCTAAATCACTTAGCTATTGTATCTACACCGAACGCTACAGAAACGTTAAATCAGCCAATTCTCTTTCAGTTTCAAGTTCCTTACCTTCAACAAGACTTGAACATTCTAGAATAGAATAGAATACATCCTCCTCTCCTATCTCTTCAATTCCTCCACTGCCTTTTTCCATTTTATCCCGCGAGTAACAAACTGGGACCGAAGAAATAGAAAAACAACACAGGCAACTGTTGACTTCCAAATTCCAGACAGGACTCACGTGAAAAAGGGCCTTGAGATCCGCCCAGAACCACAGGGGTGACCAGTAGGGATTTAGAAAACAAACTCAATTCCAGGACACAGGAGGGACAGCAAGCACCTCTTCTCTGCCTCAGGCCAACCACTATTTGTGTAAGGTTGGGTATGTGCGCATGTGTATGTGAGAGGGAGAGAGAGTGTGCGTGTAAGTTGCCTCCTCTCTATAGCTATCTAAAATAGGTTACTGGCATCGTTCAGTTAGAGAGTGGGCCCCAGACCAACAGGTGTCTGACCCACTCTGTCTAACACACACACGGTCCTCTCTGGTCTTTGCCACTACACTATGTCTTATATGAGCTGACTCCTACTAAGTCATTCCCTCTGATCTCATAGGGAACCTGACAAAGACAGGCATCTGTCCAAATGGCACCCTAATCCCTTTATAGTACACTACTTTTGTCAAACGTAGTGCACTATAAAGAGAATAGGGTGTCATTTGAGATGTAACCAGGCATGTGCCATACTTCTGGTTTACAGCCAGTTTAAATTCATCGCACAAGGCTCTTAACTTATCTTTGCTCAGCTGCTTTTTAAGTGATCAGCTGCCATCATAAGTACAGCCATGAAAATGGTTTTGTAACATATGCCAAACATATACATAACCTAACAAAGCTGACCTGCTCAACCAGTATCATAAGGGTTATGGAAATCAAAAATAATCGTCACATGAATGTTTATTTGTCTAAACGTGTGACTGTACTGTTGACTTGAAACATATCCTGTATGTTTGCTATACATGACTGCAAACATATGCCCAACATTTTGGGACTCGTGTGTGTGTGTGCATGTGAGTGTGTGCATGTAAGAGTGTGTGTGTGTGTGTGTGTGTGTGTGTGTGTGTGTGTGTGTGTGTGTGTGTGTGTGTGTGTGTGTGTGTGCGTGCGTGTCTCTGTGTGTCAAACAGGAACCGATTACATGTTTATCATCTAACATTTTGTATTTCCACAGCAGTTTCAATATTTTTTACAGTAAACGTGAGGAGATCAATGTGTAGTTTGTGGGCCATGTAATTGAAAGTGGAGGGGTCAGCACATGAACAAACAAAGTTGAGCCAGATGAAAGATAATGTCAAACACATGGAGAGAAGTGGTACTCCCACCCACTTACTCCCAGACAGCCATCAAACCGTTGACCCAGAATCCCTATAGCATAGTATATACACTGAGTGTACAAAACATTAAGGACACCTTCCTAATATTGAGTTGCATCCCCCCCTTTTGCCTCAATTCGTCGGAGCATGGACTCTACAAGGTGTCGAAAGCATTCCACAGGGATGCTGGCCCATGTTGACTCCAATGCTTTCCACAGTTGTGTCAAGTTGGCTGGATGTCCTTTGGGTGGTGGACCATTCTTGACACACACAGGAAACTGTTGAGCATGAAAAACACAGCAGCGTTGCAGTTCTTGACACAAACCGGTGTGCCTGGCACCTACTACCATACCCCGTTCAAAGGCACTAAAATCTTTTGTCTTGCCCATTCACCCTCTGAATGGCACACATACACAATCCATGTCTCAATTGTCTCTACACTCATTGAAGTGGATTTAATAAGTGACATCAATAATGGATCATAGCTTTCACCTGGATTCACCTGGTCAGTCTATGTCATGGAAAGAGCAGGTGTTCCTAATGTTTCGTACACTCAGTGTATATGGTATGTCGGTACCTGAACCAGTCAGTTTCTGCTACTCAAATTCCAAACACTCAACCAACCTGCCCTTCTATCCTCTGAACAAATAGCCAGATAGAAAATGACCCAGCAAGAGGAGGCGAAATATACAGACCAGTTAGCCAGAATCCCCATAGTATACATGTACGGTAAGTTGGTACCTATTACCTAAACCACCCAACCAGTCAGTTTCTGCCACTCAAATTTCAAACAAGAAAACCTACCATACAACCCTACACTATAATCACTCACTCACTTACTCATTCACTCACTCACTCACTCAACCGAATAGACCCTATTGTGAACACCCAGACGGAAAATGACCATGTACTCTGAGAAGTCTTGAGAGGTGGCGGAAAGTGAAATGTGTCTACAGGCTAGTATCTAAAGAATGTCCTCTCTCCCATTTGCCAGTGTTAAGTAAATAATAGTCTCGGTCAAAAGAAGACATGCAACACTTGCGGCGTGACAGTGTGGGGCTGGTTAAGTGTAAGGTCCCGTGCTTTGTCGTCTCCAGTTACTCCATGTAAATATGGTCCCAAAAGGCACCATATCCTCCCTATATAGTTAGAAATAGTGCACTATATAGTGAACAGGTTGCCATTTGGGACGCATCCTTAGTCATTTATGGAGGAATGTATCAGGCACGACTCCCACTCTTCTGGTAAGACTTACCCATTAACATGAAACAAAGAGCTGCAGTGTGCTACAACAGAAAAGCCCACATAGGGCACTACTATGACCACGACAATCTGTACTCCCCTGTTGATATGGGATACACAATGTCCATTCTTACGTATTGAAAATGTTGGGCATAAGATCTGGACTATCACAGTTGTCGAAACCCAATCCAAAGGTATATGGATGTTTTTGTCTGTACCTTTTGGAAGAGAATTCTGTTCAAGACCTCCGTCTGATGGACACATGCACGCTAGCTTGTACACACGAATCTCACTCCCCTGCCTGTTACAATGGACTCACTAACTTAGCACATAAAAGTGATTTGTATTCTCGCCAGTCGCCTAATTTTAGACCATCTGATTCCTTCCATGTCCTTCACTAGAACTCATTACCTACCTCCTTCCCATGAGCAGCCTGTAAAAGGGGCACTGCCACCCCGCCAGGACTCTGCCATGAACAGGATCGGTAGTAGGCTACGGGTGCGTCCCAAATCCCAAAACCCGTATAATGCACTACTTTTGATCAGAGCTATGGGCCCTGGTCAAAAGTAGTGCACTTTATAGGAAATACAGGGTGCCATTTGAGACAGACACTGTGGAGGTCTCCTGCCACGTCTGACAGCTTACAAGAGGCTGATTTCTACATTGAGAGGAAGCTGATTGCTGATCTAACGGATAAGGTCTTTTCCATGCTGGTCCTCCTAGCTCAGTGAAAAGCACCTATTAATGCTCTCACAATGCAGCCCGGTCACATTGTTCACACGCAACCTGACACACACACACACACACACACACACACACACACACACACACACACAGGAAACGTTTGGGCCCTCAACGTTTGGCCCCTGAGTATCTGTTTCACTTTGTGCATTCTCCTGTCGTAAAAACATTTCTGTACATGTCGACACTTCCAACTTTCACACACATTACAGTAACTAGGTCATTTTTGTTACTCTTGAGTATTTGTAGTAGGGCAATAACAAGGGTAAAGTCAAACAAATCTATAGGGGGGATAGGATATGTAAACATGTAGAATTGTCATCTCTAGTTTCTGCTCTTTGACATAAGATAATAAATACTTTATTAATCCCCATTGCAGCATATACACATAGTCATTTAAAAAGACGATGAATGAAGTAGTAGAATAACATCATAATAGAGAACATGCTCGCTCACATAATATTTTTCCAAAATAGGTGCTGGAACCTCGTTAGTAAACTTGCCATCCAATCACGTGGGAGCTGACTTTAACTTCTAGTGCCAGACAGACTAACTCATCACTTCTCTGTTTTGATTCGAGAGCGTCCAGGGGTTGACACCTCCTACTGAGCTCAATAGAACTGCTATGATTCATTCACAGACCAACATCCTCCTTGCCCTCCTCACTCTTAAGACTGAAATGAAAGAACACTCCTAACTTTAAGACTGAAGTTAAAACCCATCCAAACTGTTAAGACTGAAGTTAAAACCCCTCTTAAGACTGAACTTATGCTATTACAGCACTGATACAACGTTATATGAGGCTATAATGCTCAAGAGCTCATATCGTCCCATGGGGCCTCCATATGCAATCTACTAAGACATCTTAATCAATGGTGCAAGTATCCAGAACTGTTTGGTTTGACATGAATACTATTTATGCAGATGGCTGTTTCTCCCTGTCCTTAAATACCACTTAACTTGAGTTGCCTCTATCCCCCCTGACCCCTCTCTACCTCCCACTTCCTCCCTCCCTCAATTGCTCTTCCTCTGGCCCCAGTGAGTGTTTATGTGATCCATATCTTTGGCAAGCCAATGGACAGTCTGTGCTCTGCACTAAACAGTGGTGGAGGTCTGTATGAAGCCATGGCTGTGCCATCTTCCTCTCACTAGCTGTATAATCCCAAACCTCCACCACACAGATAAACACATCTCATCTCCTCTCTGACTGCATCTGCCTCCTCTAGGGCTTTTCATTAAATAATAGTCTCCACCGCCACAACTCAAACTCCATTTACTCTACAAGACACTCTCAGCATCCCGAATGGCACCCTATTCCCTAATTAGTGCACTACTTTTGACCAGGGCCTATTGGGCTCTGGTCAAAATTAGTGCACTAAATACACTGAGTGTACAAAACAAAAAGGACACCAGTTCTTCCATGACATTGACTGACCAGGTGAATCCAGGTGAAAGCTATGATCCCTTACTGATGTCACTTGTTAAATCCACTTCAATCAGTGTAGATGAAGAGGAGGAGACAGGTTAAAGAAGGATGTTGAAGCCTTGAGACAATTGAGACATGGATTGTGTATGTGTGTTATTCAGAAGGGTGAATGGGCAAAACAAAATATTTAAGTGGATATGGTTGTAGGTGCCAGGCTCGCCGGTTTGTGTCAAGAACTGCAACGCTGCCGGGTTTTTCACGCTCAACAGTTTCCTGTGTGTATCAAGAATGGTCCACCGCCCAAAGGAAATCCAGCCAATTTGACACAACTGTGGGAAGCAACATGTGCCAGCATTCCTGTGGAAAACTTTTGACA